CAATGTGATGTAATTAGTGAGATATAATTACGTATCGTACAATTATATACAATTATATATATACCGTTGTCGTCTGCATTCAAAATTTTATATTTACAAGAACATCTGGCCTTCGTGTTTCTTGAAATTTTTTCTAACAACAGATGAACTGTATGTTATAACTTTTACCATACAATCTTCACGATTGAGTCATAATCGGCAGTCACATATAATTGCTGATTAATAGCAAGTCAGTGATGTTATACAATCATTATCTTTCTTTCTAATAACAAATTTGTACAGTATATCAAGCTGTGATAATAGTGATCTTAGGAGATTAAGATGGACAATTCAGTGGCTTGCGTTTGTGTGCGTATCAATGAGTAAAAAATAGTTTTCCTGAAAGAAATCGTGGAAGGAATGTCTCTTGCGTCAGCACCTATTGCATACATCATTAGACAGTGGGAAAAATTAAAATTTAAAATGATTATTGGTCACACAGTGCAAACCGAATAACGTGCGACGTATGACGTCAAATGTGTGAATATAGTGCGCGCGATGATAATCGTGATCGCAGATCTGAAATTTTATTGACCATTTTGTCTCGTTGTTCCTTTCGTTCTTTCAATTATACTTAAAATCGCATGTCGCGATCCACGATAATCAGATAACGCATGTAACAAATATCACGACTACGTAAAATATTTATACAGTTTGGAAAGCTTATCAGATTGTTTATTTGCCGATAATGTATAATAAATTCATTGCCAGGTTATTCAGTTATGCCTTGCTCCAAAGACTTAATCTTTGCTGATTAACATCATATCTAAAATTGAGATATATTGTTGAGTAACAATTACAATTTAGCATCATTGTCATTGCACGCAATAACATTATGTAAGAAATGAGAAAGAGAGAGCACGAAAAACACGAATTACAGATTAATTCGTCTTTATTGTTATTCAACCAATATCGATAAATCAAGTCGGTCGTGTTATAAACGAGTTTCAGGTTGCGAATCGATTTCTTCAATCGACCTCTGCACATTTGAAGAATATCAACGAGTAGAAGTAAATCGATCTTTTCATAAATATTTTACACTCAGAAATAATTAAATGATTCTAACAGCATACAATATAATTGAAATTTTTATATGTATTATCGTATCGTTTCGTACATAATCGTGTAAAATTTATACATATTATATATAACTATAATAAATATATAAAATATATAATTAAATTCAACGTTAAAGAATGCGATGTGTTCCATTGGATTTTTCATATAGGTTCGATGTGATTATGTTAAGGATAAAACGAAATGTTACGCGATAGAGGGAAAAATTTTCGATGCGTTACGATGATAACATAATGTTATATATAAACCTAACAGGCCATCTGTCTGTACCATTAGAGTAATCAATTAAAAAAACTTATCTTTCATATCAATATTTACCTAGACTGTCAAGGCTTTTACGTGATTTAATGAAACATCTGACTCGGATATTTTCTCTACCAAAAATTGAAACATTATCATTGTTACCAGATTAAATTATTCAATGAAATAGATTTTATAATCATTCGAAATTGGGGTATAGAAAGAAGAATATAAAAGTAAGTTAGTAATTCAGCTGAATAAGTTAGTAATCTAGCGTTGCAAATTAATAATTTAGCTGAATATTAAATATTATTTATTTCAATTAATAAGAGTTGATATGCAAACTAGTAAGAACTAATTAACGTTGCGTAACCATTTATTAATTACGAGATAATCGCGAGCAGGGAATCTCGTGTTGAACTTTGTTCATATAGGCATTAATTACAAATTTAGCAAATTTTTTTTTTTTTTTAATATTTTTTCACGTGTGGATTGCAAAAAAAAA